CTGTAAGGCTTGGAACCTGCTGTTGGTAGCTATCTTGAATTCATTGAGTTTGTCAGTAACTCGAAAGAAGGCTGTATTGAACTTTTGTATTGCTGTTTGTCCAGTTGTCCAGTTCTTCTTTAGCTTCAGTTTTAAACTGGCCACAACTAGGTGGTGATCTGAAGCTATGTCACCTCCTCTCCTGGTTCTCACATTTTCCATTGTCCTTCGGAATTTTTTATTGATGCAGATATGATCTATCTGGTTCTCTGTGGTGTGGTCCGGTGAGATCCATGTAGCTTTGTGTATACGTTTGTGTGGAAATATTGTGCCACCTATGACCAATTTGTTGAATGCACATAGGTCTGCAAATCTCTCCCCATTCTCGCTTCTCTCTCCCAGTCCATGTCATCCCATGGTATCCTCATATCTGGTGTTGTCTATTCCGACTTTGAAGTTTATATCTCCCATCAGAATGGTGAGGTCCTTTTTTGGGTACTTCTCTATGATTGGCTGCAGCCAATCGTAGAATTGATCTTTAATGTCGTCGTTGCTATCATTGGTGGGTGCATAACATTGGGTAACATTCATTGTGACCCCCTCCTTTGTTTTGAATGATGCTTTGATGATTCTGGATCCGTGAGATTCCCATCCTACAAGTGCATTTTGTACTACTTTGGACAGCATTAGAGCAAATCCCTGAGTGTGTGGAGCATTGTCCTCTTCATGACCGGAGTATAGTAGCATCTTTCCCGTATTTAGCCTTTGCTGTCCAGCTTGGGTCCAATAAGTTACGCTGATTCTCTGTACTGTCAAATTGGAAACAAATACCCCTTCCCAAGTTTCAACGATTGAGTTAAGGTAACCAAACAATGTCTTTTTTTATTTTAGGGACGCAAATTCAGGCTTGTACTTTATGGTATATACCAATACTACTCTTGGTATCATTCTTCAGAACAAAACTGACCTGGGTCGAGAAACTTCCTCAGTTACACTTCAAGTTGCTGACAACACTAATATCACTATGTTTGGGCGGAAACATTCTGCACTGGACTTGCGGTTTAGGAGGCGATTCTCCTGGGTTTTCACTGTAGCCGGTTTAAACCTAGCGATCTTGGGAATGGACTTTATAAGGAGATATGAGTTTTTAGTCGATACTAAAAAACGACGTTGAACGCTGAAAGAAATTTCGAATTACACAAAAGGCAAAGAAAGTCACATCACGTCTCTAAACTTGATACAAACTCAGCCAGTAGCAACGGCGAAATTCCAGAATATACTCGCGGAATTTCCATATTTAACCAAACCTAAGTTTTGGCCCTTCAAAAATAAACTAAAGGTAAGTCACACAATCAAAACTGAAGGCGCACCTATGTTTGCTAAAACCGAGAGACTAGCACCTGACAAGCCTAAAATCGTTAGAGACGAATTCAGCTACCTGCTACAGCTATGTATTATTCGTCTCTCGAACGAAGGATATATAGGTAAGTTAATGGATAGATGCGTAGTTGCCTGTTAGAATATTGAAACGCAATGTTGCGATTTCAAGTATTTCAGGCTCTATTTTCGTTCAGTATGCAGTCGCTCAACCCTATTGTTTCTTCCTATCGAGACCCTCCTTCCAATAGTCTCACATTTTACTTTTTAGTCTATTGAGTAGCATGCACAGTAAAAGCAGTACATTCACCATGACTACAAGGACGACTAGCAAAGGTCAAGGTCTAAATTGAGAGGTTAATAATAGCAGCAGAAATACATATTTTTAGACGGGATTGCGAGTAACCTCATGACAACACCAGACAAAGATCCTCAGAGTAATCTGTACAATTTGGCTCGCTCGACTCAATCATCAAAAACAAATCTCCAACTGAGTAACCAGGATCACACCCCTATCTAGACTCCTACTCTTAGTAAGATTACTGATCAGATAAAAAATCAGAGAAAAGGGCATCCCAAACTGCATATGGTGCCCACCATTAAGTAGAAAATACACACTAATAACAATGAAGTGGACCACAATTCTACAGATTTACATTCAACCTGTAACGCTAAAAGCAGGACGGCAATAGTGAGTGTTGGAGGAATGAATGAAAATGGCTAGATCCGCCCATACGGGCGCGTTCACTCTTTACAGCCCTTTGATTTTCGTATTAAATATATTACTCATTTTTCAACTCAACTGTGTTCTTCCTAAGTGCCAAACACCGTGTTGCTGATTGCCATGATTCGACGAGTCAACGTAGACAGTGATGTGTCTTTCACATAACGTCTTATAGATTAAGTTATCCCATCACGACAAATTAACAATTTTGGGATTACATCTATGATTATGGTAACAAAGATTAGCGTACTAATATCGAACTGGATCATCATTCTACATATCCTTCAGGATGCTATTCAGCACATGCTAAGCACACACCTGGAAAGAGTCGACCCAGAGTTAAGCAGGGCATGGAATGCTCGCCACATGTTAAACAGAGAGACTGATACTGACACAAGGTCTTCTTGAAGGATTTTGACGGCAGCTTTTCTCACACGACATAAAGAAGACACAGTGTTAAAGTCGGTAGTAATAGGAAATTTTTTTAGGCCAAGCTGGCAGCCCAAATGCAAGCTGACCCAAAATATCTCTACAGATTAGAGATTAAGAGAAAGCTTACAAGTCGGGGACCTGCACTGTGAAAGGAACAAATGTTTAAAAATCTTATTAACTTAAGAATGGCGAAGATCTAGTGCCAGTTAAGGAACTTGGCGATATCCAGATGACTTCCGGGTTATTGTTAAGTAGACCAAAATTCTTGCACTCTGGAAAAGCCAGAATGTGACGACATCCCTGCTATATTTTTGAAGCAGAGCGAACCAATGACGAAATACTTCGGTAAAAGCTACACCACCCGCCATGATACCTAACACGAGTTCAGGAAATGAAGTTCCTGTGCATACAGTCTACTCATAGCAGTTGGATGACCTGCTAGGACTGTGGGATACAGATTCATGAAATATTCCCCGACTTCGCTTTTGTATTTGACACAGTGACCCACGTACATCTCATAGCCATAGTTGGAGAGGTGTGTGTCTCTGACTTATATCCTGGCTCCGAAACCATCTAAAAAACAAGATGTTTTGAACCAAGGTAAAAAGTGTGCACGCGAGTTTGAAGGTTTCGACACCAGGAATCTCACGGAAAACAATCCTAGGTATAATCCTGTTCTTGATCTTTATTAAGGACCTGTTAGATAAGATTAACTAATCGGTACTGACCTATGGAGACGACGCCAAGATTTACAGTTCCATAAATAGCGAAAAGGATTCACTTGGGCTTCAAAAGTGATTGGCCAAAATGGAGAAATAGTCGGTTGACGATAGGCTGAAATCCAGACTGGTGAAATTTCATGTTACAAACATTCTGCCAAATTTGACGCAAAACACTTACAACCTCCGTGGACATACACTCCCAATTACCTCTCCGGAACGTCATCTCGGGCTTGTAGCCAGTAAGAGCTTAGATACCAGCTTTAACTACATAGGAGATGCGTTCAAGGCAAACACAATTTTTCAGTTTATGCGTTGACAACTTGGCGTAACCGCTACAGTGTTGTTCATACCACTATTTAAAACATACTCACGGCCCTACTCTGAAATATACTGTATTGTTGCACTCCTTCTTTTCATAGGAGACGCAAATCTCTTAGGCCAAGTACAGAGATGGGGGACTAAGTGGGTGGGGCAGAATACATCACCTAGCACTGTTCTCGTTAGGCTACGGGTGAATAAGAGTTGACCTGATAATAGCACACAACATATTGGATACACCAAGCTACCTGAACACGAGCATGTTACCAGAATATCACCACCATACAATGTGAAACAACTCTCCAAAGATTGCACATCAAAGAGCAAACACCTAGGTATGCTCCCACTTTCTCTCATAAATATTTGCCCCCATTCGGATGGCTCTTGCAGCCGAACTGACCACAGCCCCATCAGTGGATATCTTTACGAGGAGACTTGACAAACATGTACTCGCATATGAACTGCTATCTATCTCCTGGACATGTTGCGTTTGATGCATGTCTCAGAATTTACCGCGGTTGTGATTACCACATATTAGTAACTACTTCATATCTCTCTTATAATTTCCATTTCTCTTCTTATTTTTTTTCAATTCCGTCTTCTCACACATTACCAATTAATGAACTTGCTTATTATTCTTAAAACAGTTGTACTCTCTTAGCGAATGCATTGCAAATTTTCTACTGTCACAATGCAACCAACCAACGTCTAGTCTGCTAAAGTGGAAACTGCTGATATCCAGTAGCCCCTCTGCCTTGAGACAAACGCTCACTCCAACATCAAAATATACAAATATCAAAATAAACACCATAGTGGCTAGAATTAGTGTAGTTAAGTAGATGCAATGTCACCATTTGAATATCACCAAGTATCTGGAACCGCGCAGAAAGAAGAAGAAACGAACACAAAGAAACCAATGGGTTTGAAGATGCCACAGGTATTCTGAGTTTGATAATGCTTTAACCAGTAACACCTAATATTAATCGTACCCACCAACTGAAATAAAAAACAGAAGCGAGGAGGTTCGAAGATATATTTCATTGGCTATCAATATATGGAGGATCGTTTGATCTAATCTGGATGGCGATCGCAAGGGTTGTTGAGTACGGTGTTCCCACAACTGATCTGGTGCCGATGCATGACCGAGCGCCTTCAGATAGGTGAGTCCATTAAAACTAATGCGGTGAGCATCTAATGTCGAAGACTTACAGATCTATTTATCTTGGGGGATTTATTTACAGCTACAGGTCCATAGATGCTCATGATAATGATACAGGTTATCAACACTCAAATAAAAGTTTAATTCATAAGGACTAGTGAGATCTAGTGGCTAAATTACTCTCGTTGTGAGCCAACAAAAACTTAGAATCATATCATGGCGTCAAGGTGCGAACCGAAAGAAACCAACTACAAGGTCGTCTCTGATTTATTGGATATTGTAGTGTCTTGTGGTGGCAGATTCGCCTTACCAAGGTCAGTGTGTATATTTTCTGGTCGTATCTTTAAAATAGATATAACCTACAAATGTCCAGCAATGTGTAGAATAGTCATTTTAGGGTGTTTATGTTGTAGTTACTAAGCAAGATATCATCGTGTGCGTATACTTGTAGAATCTAATGAACACTTATGATATGCTAGACCATGACTAACAAATATTCTGTGATGACAATTCCCCATTTAGTATGTTTTAACACAATAAAGTTTTCTTTTTTGATAGCAGTCGGTGGGTTTGCTACAAGATGAGTGCTGGAAAAGATGTGGATCAAATTGATACGCCGGATTCTGTGAAAAATACTGTTCCAAATCATGGATATTCTCTTCGTAAGGGCGACTTCGCCCAACGGCCCATGTCCATTAAAAAGTTTCTCGAGCCTTTCGACCACAGCAGTTTAACAAATAATGAGGCTGGTGAGAAATATGCAGCCTATAAAGCAAGTTTCGCTCGCCAACAGTTGGAAGAGTTTTTCGAAAGGAACAAATCGTATGCTTGGTATGTGTTTCTATTTATGTTGCTCCACAAATTCTTTATTGTATTCATATACAGAGCCATTCTCTCTTTGATATTGCAATTTAGACCGAAATTCGACGTTCAACAATAGTCGAAAAGCAATAAGCCTCATCTCGGTAGTAAATTTCTGGCTTTAATCCACCATCATGTAGTGAGATCGGATATACTACTTTTAATTTCACACAAAAAGGTTTGTCATGGTAGATTATTGCGCTGCGATAGCCTGCTAGTATTCTTCGACTTCTAAATTGACAATCCTACCCTGATCGTGCCAAACTAACACTGGTTACCATCTGACAGCTCGTAAACTATGAACTTTTCACTAAATTGCACGAATCACCCCATACAACCCACATGAAATAAACCATAGGCTCTTTTAACTATCAGGATGTTTTAAGGACCATATAAGTTGCTACTATTGACAAGTGAATGCTAAATAACACCTTACTAGCCTTCGCAATAGTCATCCTCATCGCATTTGCAATACTATTGAAATACTTTCTGTATTACATTCTCCAAAATGTTAAAATACGTTTAATTAAATTTCATTAGTGGCGTTCGTTATAAACCAGCCATTCATGATGTGAATTATTAATCCATATTACTTTTCGAAATCAAGTTGCTTCGCTCCTTAAGGCTACGTTAAGATTAGAATATTTAACTTGTTTGTTGAAGTCTGAGACTTTTGTGAGCTAACGAGGTTTTGTGTGGTTTTACTCCTAAGAATATGGAAAGTCAATGCATCTCATAATTCGTACCCAAAAATATATTACGTCATTATATCACTGTGCATGTTCCTCTTACACTTCACTTTAATATAATTGTTTAAATTTATTCCATATAGGTTCCGCGAAAAATATCATCCAGATTACCTCACAGAATCATCGTCCAGCATGAAGTTGTTCCGAAGACGTTTAGATATTTTTATGGAGTTTTATAGAAATGGTTATTTTGACAATCTACATCTAGCCAGTGGTTATGAAAGTGAAATTGTCCGGCTGTTAGATATGGGTAGGTGGTGTGATATAGATGTTCTCAAGTAAAAGTTTTCTTCCTAAAATTAATAAACCCACCGTGTTCTAAACATTCTTTTGTGTACATGATTTATTGTGCGTAAACTGAGGTCATATCTAAAAACGGACTGGAAAACTTTTTATATGCCACCTCAAGTTCTTTAACCAGTCGTCTGCGTATATATATATATATGCTCAGAATAGAGTGGGTTAAAATCGCTCTGGAATGTTAGTTTTAGAGCATACTAATTGTTAGACTATTAGCGCTTACTGGTTCCTCATATACTCATAACGTTAATCAAAATGCTTTTTTTTCACTTAGTTCATTTTTCTATAATTGTTCATATTTAATATTTAGTTGCGATTAAACTGGCTGGTGGGACAGAAGAGGACTTTGTTCTTTTGGACAAACTACTCGAAGATAGAATTTCTGAAGATCCCAACGTGATCATTGAGCCATCGACTTTTCAACATACAGAAAATGTCAAACCGAACGACAATATAGTTCAGTCATCAGATATACGAGAAGGACCATTTGATAAGGAGAAATTTGATGCGAGCACTATGAAAAAAGTAAGTACTATTTATTTTAAGTTCGTTTTAATGCTGCGAATTTTAATATTTATAATTAGTGACTAATTAAAGCGAATCATAAAACTGTGTTTGTTGGTGTTTGTCAGTACGAACTAACCGCAGTACGCAGGGTTATCGGGTTTCGTTCTTACAAATGTAGTTCGGATAAACATAACATTTCAAAACGCGCACAATATTTTTAACCTCAGGTGATAATGTTTGATGTATTGGTAATTAACACTGAGTTGTTTCTTTTTACTCAATAAGCTTATTTTCAAAGATTTTTTGTCATTTATTGATAGAGTTATCATATTTTTCGTGTTTGTTTAACAGTAATATGTGTTGCTTGATACTTTACTGAACATGAAATAAGCAAGAAGACTTAAGAATTCATTTTTGTATTTGATTACCATATTATACGTGAGTATTCAGGCTTTTGATACGTACTCAGTGGTTTTCTACTTAGGGAACTGTACGAAAACAAAAATTTATCTGAATATTTTGTTGGTTTTTTTTCAAACCTAACAACAGTATTATAGTGAAATCAAATTGCTTATGTTCTCTATAATAATGTAGAATATTCGTGTTGTACTATTTAAATTTGGATTAATTTTAATTTGATTATTTATCCTCTGAAGAAGTGGCTTACAATAAGTCACGAAACGTCAAGAAATCTAATTTTTCTACTCGTTGGGATATTACAAATTTATTATTTTTTTTATAACAATCTACCCAATGCTCAATTTATTCGAAATTATCAGATCAAACCTTGGTAATGATAAATACGATGTAGTCTAACGCTAATCAAGCGAGTTTTCATATACTTAGCCTTAAGGGGCGTTGGAAATATGAGGGTTAGTGATACTACTATGCTTTGCAAACCAAAATAGGTGAAGTAGGGTTCGTTTTGATGCAGGTATATAACCTGGCACTTTTTTTCTGGAGCCAACTATTCACCAGTTCACTGATAAACTCTGAAAATCGGAAATTTGTTTACTAGCATGGCTTTATGTCATAGAGGACAGGATTTTGACTGATATTACAAGTACTAACCTTCAAGGATGTTCTGTAACCCTCGGATACCTTTAGACACCAAAGTATTATGGTGTTTACAAATTCCAATCGTGTTTATTTTCGTCCTGTATTATGTATATGTTGATGTAACTTCACATAATGTTTAATATTTTGCTGCCCTACCCGGTTTTCATTATGCATAAACTCATTTGTGGTGCCTACGTCACTAATTAGGCCTTCATTGGGATTTGTCAGTTGCAGGCACTTCCAATATTTTAGGACAATAGATCAAATCTACGAACGCTATCCTCCACAATATTGTAGTATCTTAAATTTTAATCGAATATACCTCATTATGGTATATTAAAATTTACTCTTAACAGGTTTTTAATTATGCATATTTTTATATTTACACATTTCTTTGCAGAAGCCTAAACCAGATTATTGCGATTCTTCAAAAATCCAGAAGCGTAAAGAGTTTAGAATTAAAAGACGTCAAAATAATGCAGATGAAGAGGAGGAAGGCGAAGACAGTAGTTTAAGTGATGATGAAAGTAATGATAGTGGAACTGATAGCGTAAACAGTCACAGTAGAGATTCCAGTTCAAGTAATAATAATAGTACTAGTGGTAGTAGCAGTAGTAGCGATAGTAGTGACGACGATAATGGTAGCAGTAATAGCAGCAACAGTAGTAGTAGTAGTACTGACGATGATGATGATGATAATAATAATAAGGAACACCAAAGGAAAGTTAGCATATCTAAAAGCAATAGCAGTGATAGCAGTGATGGTGAGACGGTTGTAAAACACAAGAAGAAGCATTCTAAACTTGTTAAAAATAAGAATGTCCAAGAAAATTCTGGTCATAGTGGTGACCGTCATCGTCGCCGTCATCACCGTCATCATGATGATAATAATAACAATCACGATAATGTGCACAACAAAGTTAATCCCATTTCAACTAACCATTTATATAACAATGATCATAACGACCAACAGAATAAAAGTGATTGTTCAAAAGTAGTGCCTGATGAAATCAACACGATGTCTTCTACGAAATCACCTAATACGACAGGGTCAAATCAATCGAATGAAGTTTATGTACTATCAGGGTTGACAGATCCACCTTATGTTGCTGGTGGTGTTGTTATTAGTGATGATACTCATAATAATAATATTACTAATGATGGCGAAAAATCTATGGATTTCGATAATCTAACAATAGAGAAATCAGCAGATCCAATAAATAAAGATGATTTGAAGGAATTAATTGTCACAAATGAACAAACTCGTCGACCCATTCATTATACAACTTTACTATTTTTTCCACATATTCCATTCAATATATTCAAACGAGATTTAATATCTGTAAGTTTACCAGTAGTAGTTGCTTTTTGTATAATCCACGTGTTCTGGAATTTTCGTTTAAGTTCATTGAACAACTCAGTCGGTCAGTAACAACGTAGAACTTCGTACGTACGTACATCAGTTCAGGTTTCCACACCAAATTGAACAACTAGTCACAAAATCACAGTTACTACAGTTTTGAAAAAAATGTTTCTAGGTAAAACTCAGCAAATTGATTGAAATTAAAAGGGTATGAAATACTTGAAACGTCTGTATTGTCGAACATATATAGAAACGCTTAACTGACCAAAAGTTTCTTTCATGCCACTTTTCCCTTAGATATATGTATACCTCATACTGTATATTGTAATAAAATATTTACGTTTTGATAACCGTAAATTCTTAGGATGGAATTAGTGCTGACAATCGTCCCCCTAAGTATTTTGTTATGATATGCAGTGTCCGAGTCTGATGCTGATACACAAAACCTGATCTGGAGTCAGAAGGCTGCGCGTTCGAATCACGTCGGGCTCACCAGATAATTGTGGTGGACCAAACAATATATAAACGCAAAAGTATCAACAAAGTTAATAACAATCAATAGTAATATTAATATTTACAGGTTAAATGTTACAAATGCAATAACAAATTAGGGACGTTACTTAAATCGGCTAGTCGTTGCGTGTTCTGTTGTGTTTTGGTCTCAAAAATCCACAATTATAAATGCGTAATAATTCCACAGAGGTAAATATGACGCCAATAAGTTTCTTTGACGTAGGATATAATGGGAATGACACTGCAGTCTGAAATGAGGATAATATCCAGTTTAGAACGCAATTGACTTGGTAACAAGCGAGAATAGAACAATGGGTATGTGCGTAATAGTGTATTTGTGAACAACCGAAAATGTGTGTCACGCTATGTTCGAATTACAACGGAAAAAGTGTTCAAGGTCGTTGACTAAAACAACACGTACAGTCATTTAATGATAAATGTACATACAGTGAAAAATTGGCAAAACAAATAGAAATAACATTGAAAACTATTTACAAAATAAGGTTGTCAGGTCTATCTCCACATAGCTCCCCCCAGAGTGTCCGGAGGTAACACTGGTTACAATAACAACAATAAAAATTCTATACAAAAATAATATTTACAAAATAAGGTTGTCAGGTCTATCTCCACAATAGTTGTAGTAGTTCTCCAAGTTGCAGCTCCGTACTATAGAACTGTTTTGATTCTAGTTTTGAAGATCCTGACTTTGATATTAGTTGACAGTTGTTTTGAGTTCCATATGTTCTTCAACTATAAGAATGCTGCCCTTACTTTGCCAAACCTTGCATTTACGTCTACATCGGACCCTCCTTGTTCATCGATGATCCTGTTCGGGTACGTGAAAGTTTCCACATCTTCCAGAGCTTCTTCATCAAGTGTGATTGGGTTGGTGTTCTCTATGTCGTATTTGAAGATCTTGCTTTTTCTCTTGTGTATGTTTAGGCCTACTGATGCAGAGGCTGCTGTTATTCTGGTTGTCTTCATCTGCATATGTTCATGTGTATAGAATAGAATGACCAGGTCATCTGCGAAATCCAAATCTTTTAATTGAGTCCGATCTCTTCGTTGTATTCCGTGCTTCCTCTGAGTTGTTGAGGTCTTCATAATCCAGTCAACCAACAGAAGGTAAAGAAAGAGCGAGAGTAAGCAGTCTTGTCTGACTCCGCTTTTTACTTGGGATGCGTCTGTCATCTGTCCTCCATGCATGACTTTGCAGTGTAGTTCGTTGTATGGATTCCGTGTGATATTGACGATTTCCTCAAGTAAGTCGTAGTATCGAAGAAGTTTTCATGAGGTTCTATCCACATTGTCAAATGCTTTCTCATAGTGACTGAAGCTGATGTATAGTGACGAGTTCCATTCAATTGGTCGTTCAACGGTGATCCGTAGTGTCGCGATTTGGTTTGTGCACAAGTGATCCTTACGGAATCCAGCCTGTTGATCTAAGTTGGGCATTTACTGAACCTTTTATCCGGTTCATATATATATATATATATAACATGCTCTTGTGATTGGGAGGTTTTCGATTGGCAAAACATTTCCATCTCACTTAGCAACTTTTGATTGGTTCACTCTATCACATTCCTTGTTTTTTTCTGGTTATTTTATAAGGGATCTTTAAATTACTTGGAATTAGACTACCTTAACATAAGTTTTAGAATCTAGTATGGCTTATACATAGTAACTTTGTTTTGATATTACCATTCTTCTAATCGTCAGATTGTTTTTACTAATTTTGTTATCCTATCCTGTTTTAAATTTTCTAGGTACTTTCCACTTGTCCACATTTCTTACGTTTAGCTATCTTAGATCCTGTTATCATGCCGGATACAGTGTCATCAATAACAGATGATCAAATATTCGGTAGGGTGAAAAATCCTATGCCTAAAATTTTACTAAAACGTATGGGATGGGCATCATTTACTTCACAATATATAGACGATGTTAACAATAAGTGGATTAGTATAGATTTAATCGCTATAAAAAATAAATTAATTGAATACGCGGTTGATCGTGAAGCTTCAAGTGATTTAATTGAGTGTTTACGTTTATCGCGACCAATTTTGGATCATTTGAAAGTACCACATGAAGAACGTGCTCGAAAGACTGGACATTTATTCGATAAGTTATTAAGTGTATGTCCAACTCGTATTCGTTCAAAAGCTTTAGCACGTCGTCATCTAGTGATAGCAGCTCGTGTTATTTATGATTTCGACAAGGCTAGAGGTTTGTGGTCAACAACAGAGTATGATACTAATGATAATAGAAAGAATGATAACAATGTGTCAGCAGATAAAGAAAGGGGCAAAGGAGAACATATCAACTTGAGACGTCATGGAGAAGTTTCCTCTATCGTTGACGATGGTGAAGAAGAAGGTGAAGATGGTGGCGGTACTACTACTAGTGAACAAAAGGAGAAAATTTATAAAGAGACGTTGACGATCAATAAATTATCTCTTCAAAATAACTTAAGCGAAAATGATATCAATCATTCAAGTAATCAAGATCGGTCAATGGATATAGATCAATCTCTTGAAAATGAAGAAACAATGGGTAAGGAATGATTTTCATTCACTTATATACTATTTTTTATTCACTTTTAGTATGTAGTAATTGGTCACGCTAATTTTGGTTGCAATAATATGAAGGCTATATATAATAATTCTAACTCGTTTATCGCCATCGCATAAAACATCCCAACAGGTGTTCAACAGTTTACGAAACACTATAATCATAATGACGATGGTGATGAAGTAAAAAAACATTTTGTTTTTACCATCTTCGATATTTAAATCGAAAGTGAGGTTGTTAAGAAACGTTTAAAGCAATAAGAAATTGTTCAAAATTACCGATAGACAACTTAATTTTGCATATCGTTGAGTTTTCAAAGAAAATAAAGTATACATTCGTTAAAGCCTCTTGGAGTACATATTTTGAAATAATTAAAAATCAGTTGCTAGGTTTATTCACTTTTAATATAATTTCAGAATTCATTTATTCTTGAGGTTATTTAATTATACACTGTATTGTTTTGAACCATATTTTACTAGTAATCCTCACTGTTCTCATTCATCTGTTCACTTAAATTGATTAATGTAGTGTAGTGCGATGCAGTTGTTGAATTGCTCAATGAAAAATATAATCTAAACTAAAGTTCACTTGATCGTAATGTTAGGTTTTATAGATGATCGACTCAATTCTTTAAATTTTTGCCAGTCAGTCAAACTTAAACAACATATGATCTAGCAAAAATACATTTCTCCAGATTTTTATAATTTACGTTAGTAGAGTTAGCATGAAAAATGAGGAAGTTCAAAAATTATGTTTACAACAAAATTAAAAGAAATGACTAGAAAAATATTTAATCATACTTTTTTAAAAGTTTATGGGAACATAAATATTAGTATGCTCCACTATCGCAAATTATGAGCAAGTCTCTAAATACACAAAACAGTTATATGAAATCTGTATTTCTCTGCACTGTTTAGGACAATCCTTAATGGTTTTGGGAACTAATACCGTGTTTTGCTTTGTCTATCTAATATTTTCAACCTGATTTTATCGTAGCCAGCTTACTGAGTCAAGTTATTGGCGGTTTAGCATACCTAACAAACCTTTCAGTCATTCCAACGTTTCAGTCAACGCCAACGTTGCTGGTTAATTGCTTAATTGGTAAAGGATAATGCGCCTAAACGTTTAGGATAAAACATTGGGTATTTGCCCATATCTTCTAACTCAAAAGTCAGTGTTTTATAGCTGTAAGGTAATTCTGAACAGACTGCTCTACCGTACATTCATCTTTTGATATACAGGTGGTCTAGATTTCATCAGTGGTGATAAGACTTTAGAGATAAGTGAGGTGATCAACGCACTTAGTTATCACCTTATTATGAGACTGGATATCGATATAAACCAATCCTGAGACATTTCGGTTTCGAAAAAGCAAACAAATCTCGAATACCATCAATAAACTGCTTTTAGTAAGTTGTTTCATTGAACAGATGTGTCAAAATCATCCTGATGTTAGTGGAGTAATCCAAACTACATTGGGTATTTAGTTTCAGTCGATTTCAGTTAGCAGTTTGAATTTCTCTTTTTACTGTGTTTCATGTGTAACGATTTACTGAAATTCCGAAATCGTTCTGATGTACGAAATAATTATTTTGATATAAATATATGCAGAGATGAAGTTTTTTAATGGTAGGCTTTCCATTAATATACCAGTCGTCACCTTTAACGCAAACGTACATGTGTAAATTAATTATTATCCATTTTTTAACGTTCAAATTATCAAGTGAAATATTTACTATCGTTGTAAAATTTATTTCTTCACTTCATACACTGTTTTTGTTTTACATAGAAGAACAAAACAATGATTCAGATGTGAAAGAATCATCTCATCAGAAAACACATAAGTCATCATCATTACAAGACAGTAAAAATTCTAGTGACGTATCTATGCTTTCAGATGATGAGAAACAAAGTGATTTTATTGATCCTGGTGACGACTTAATAAAGGCGGCAAATATATTAAATAGTATAAAAACAATAAATCCTCTTCTGCAGGGTTTAACTGATTATCTTGTCGACGAGGGAAATGCTGAAGAAGAACTTCTTTTACTAGGTAGGGGATTTTAAAAATGTTATCTTTTTTCCTTTTTGTATCGCTAGTTTATTTTCTTTAGTTTCATATGATGTAAATAACAAAGTCGATGGGTGGTGTAGGTAGAATTGTAAAAATTGACAGAACAATTATTCGAAAGAAAAGGTATAATCGGAGGAAAGCTATCGAAGTAGAATGGTTTTTATTTCCTAACTATGATAGATTTTCAGCATTTAGGAGACTTTCCAACGTAGGAGGACATTTCAAAAGTGTTCCTTAAGAGACTGACATCTACTCTAAAGCCTATAGTTCATCATTATCATTATTATTAGCTTTGTTAAATATTGTATTTTTGGTAAGATATAGAATTTTTAGCACAGTAAGAAATATGTTAAAATCTCAAACCACAGTCTTTGCCGATAACTTGGGAGCTTATAAATGTTTTTCAAAGTTTAAATGCAATCATAATATCGTTGTTCACAAACGGTATTTGTTATGATTTTTAGCCCTTCAAATATCACGTAAATCATAACACCGACTTATATGACCTTGTCCTTGTGCTAAACCAATGATGCGTTAGCCAGCATGAACTTACTTACTTACTTTCGCCTGTTACTCCTAATGGAGCATAGGCCGCTGACCAGCATTCTCCAACCCACTCTGTCCTGGGCAGCCAGCATGAACAGCCTTTATTATTATTTATTTATTTTAACACATAGATTTTGGTACAAGGAGGCACCAAATACATATGCGCCACACAAATCTCATTCGATATGTGTGAGGGCTGTGATACTGCCCGGGTGCCCAAACCGAAGCAGGTGGTTTTCTTAGGGGGCCACACCGAGCCTTCGACCTGAAGGTCTGATCCACAAGGCAGTGGAGCATCTTGAGGAGATGCAATCCCATGGAAGCCGGTAACCAACGATTGGTTCATACGCCATTTGTTCCCGCAGGATACTGGAGCCCATGTGCAGCATTGGTTTGAAATCCGGTTAAAGCTCCGGACATTCTCTTTTCGTCCTCTCGATTTCGTAAACAACAGTAATGCCACGAGAAGGCAGTGAGTAGGACTTCCCTGGCGGAGGCTATATACGCGTGGCCATGTGAGAGCATTTCGAGAGGGAGAGATGACTCCCCACTCTCGGCCGTACCAGGGCATTTGGGGGCTATGAACAGCCTAGGGTCAACTCTGAGGCCTTATTGATCCTCAAAATAGTAACTTCTCGACTAGTCCAGCTCATTCAGTTCAGAACACAATCTCAGCGTCCACCGTGTGGATTGTTTATTTCAGACATACGTGATTTATATACAAACAGACCAGATCGCATCACACACTACAAAATAAAAAGCAATAATTATACAAGATCAAACCAAAAGTGGCTATGAGTATTGGATACTGTAATAAATTAATAATGGTATAACAGTAGCCAATAGGTTAAATTAAAGTTTATGATAAGTGGAATACGAAAAAATATATGACCTAGTTACTTAATAACTATCTAATAAGGATATTTATAATAATAGTCTATAAATAATCCCTAACAGTTACCATTCTTTTCTTCTTCGTTCTGATGTAACAGTATTTCATGGATCCCCAAACAGGAGTACACATAAGTAATATTGAGACCATGTGAGGAAAACTCGAAAATTATCCTTGACCATGAGTAATGATACTTTTTGTTTTAGCAACATGAACAAATGTTTTTTTCTATCTCAAACATGAAGTATCTTTAAATGACCTTAAGAAATTTACAAACTATGTAAAAGTCCTTTGGGCTTTTTAAAAGTTTTTCTTACTGAAAACCAATCATTTTCATAATTAGTTTTCTGTTTGTCTAAACAAGTAGTTTAATTTTTTCTGACTCGTTCAAGTTCTTTCTTAATTCAACCAGTTTATCTCGTAATTTGTTTTTCTACAGTATCACAGATTGAAATCATGAGTCAATTGAAGCCAGACCACCATGGAAAACCTGGAAGCACTGGACGGCCGTTTCGTCCTAGTATGGGACTGTTGTGAGATATCAGCTCACTGAAGACAAGGTATACGGTGGCGCAACTTCGTGGATTGGTTGAAGTTAGACATTAACACCGCTGAATGCCGGCTCAGTGGTCTAGTTGGTTAGGCGCCTGGCGCGAGACTGATAGGTTCTGGGTTCGAATCTCGCGGGGTGTGGAATCGTGGATGCGCACTGCTAAGGAGTCCCATACTAGGACGAAACGGCTATCCAGTGCTTCCAGGTTTTCCATGGTGGTCTAGCTTCAATTGACTCATGATTTCAGTCTATGAAGTTCCTAAAATCGCCACAAACCCCTTCTGATAATTTTTCTACAATAATTTAATTTTTCTTGTTACTCAAAAAAGATTCTTTAATATTTATAAATTCACTTTATTTCTTTAGGGGGTATGCAATCTATTTCATTTCAACCATCTTCAATAACAAAAGGAACATTAATGAATAATTCACAAATGATTAATTTACACTCATCATTACAATTACAACAACTTGATATATCTTCACGATTCTGTGAATCAGATGATAGTGAATTATTAGTTGTATTGGATCGTTTAATTTTATATTTAAGAATAGTACATTCAGTAGATTTTTATGCACCTGCATTTTATATGAATGAAGATTTAATGCCACATCCATGTCGTCTTATACATATTCGACCGGGTTTAAATGAAATAACCAAAGCTTTAACACAAGTTAAAAGTCCAGAGAAGTTAATCAATTCAGAATCAGTTGATCATGTAAATATTTTATTGTATTATATTTTATTTATTGGTAAATTCACAAAATGTCTTTGTATAATGGTCATAGATATAGAGGAAATTATTGATAGTTGTTTTACATTTTTTGTGGAAGCGTTTCAGCTGTACACATAGACATAAACAGCGATAACCACTCGTTTAATGATCGCGTTGAATGTTGGACCACCTAACCCTTGATGGTATCATAAAACGAATTATGATCATCTCATTTCCCACTGTTCACAATTTTAATTGTACTCAGTTTGTTGTATATCATACAGTGCTATATGTGTCTCTGTACAGTATATTTAGATTTTCCCCAATGATAGTGTTAATATTCATATCCTGATCACGAAGCTAGTTTGTTTCAGATTCAAATACATAAAGGGTTATTAATGTTGATTTTCATGAAGTTTCTGATTGATATCTGCTTGTAATGAAAGCAACCTAACTTACATGAGAACGTTATCATTTTTGAGTTATTTTACAGTTTTTAAATTTCGATATAACATATTAACAATATGGAATAAGTTGGTTCTCAGATCTCATAACCGAATTCCTGATGTCAAAAAATATAATAAACATTTATTAATAATACATGACAATGTCCAAGCATCTGGTGATAAGTTGGAACGTTATGGTTATGTATCTACAACCCGGAAAAAAACTTATTTGCGAGTTAGTTTTCATAAATATCTTACTATTTACTTAGTTTTGCAAAGCCAAGATTTTAAAAACGAATGTTAAGAGATTGGTACTTTATCTATGGTTTCGCAGGCTCTTGAAAATGAATATAGCAATTTCTTTATTCAAGATTCATGGAACATTTGTTTTAGTCAAATTTTCAAACCATTTGATTTTTTCCCTAGCCCGATTATCACCCCTAGTTTCAAAAAGATTCTTAACATTCTCTTACACCCTCATAATTTTGTTGTTATATACTCTATATGTAAGTTTCGTAAGTATTTGTGTCATAGTAGAGTGTATAAACACGCGACCGCATGAGTAAATTTCGAGAAGGACAAAGCAAAAACTTCACCAATGTTTGTATCAAAGCTACTCTTGAATTTATAAACTTTCACCCATTATAAATAGAGTCGAGCAATTTTTTCGTAATCCCAAACATTGAGGAAATTCAAACATTTATGTGTAATTATCAACGTTCAGTGTTTTATGTAAACTTTCTTCGAAGCATCGCTCGCGTTTCATGGAGCGACCAAGTGAGGAATGTTGAAGTTGGGAATAGTGTGTTTGGTAAACGTCGGAAATCGGTTGATAAGACTGTAAATCATCATATAAGATGGTTAGGGCATATATTGCATATCCCCAACGGCTGCCGACCTCAACAAACTATGTTGCTCGGTGTAGAAGTAGGCTGGAATAAAGCTATGGGGACAAACTAAAACGTAGCTTCCGCCCATAAAGTTATTGACCATTAACCCGAACCATGTATGTAGATGCAGACTGCTTAGTTGGGCTATGTGTGATAAATGTAACTAGAATGATTGAAGACGAGTGACATAAGTCTGAATCATTCGCGATGGCACCGATGCATTCACTTGTTGTTTTTCTCTCGAACTTGAACTCCGGTATCTCTTCACATTTACGTTTTTACTGTCTTTTCAAACCATATTCCAAAGGTTTAGTCTTTCTTTTCATCATTGTTACCACATTATTTCGATCTCGTTATTTGCGTCTCATTCTGCTAGTCTAATATGGCGAATTGGCTCAACGTACTTCTGTGCCAGGCTCTACGTTGATGATGTCTGTCTGTCTATCAATATACTAAGCATTCATTTACTTATGAACAGAACTCATGGTATAGCATTATTTCTCAACTTTGATTTCATTTTTTCTTGTGCTGACTAGACGCTAAAAATCCTTAATTTTTCGACTTTTTTCTTTTGGTTACGGTTACAAATCCATGTGGATATTTTATTCTTTGCTAAAATTAATTAATTCTCAAATTTTACAAAATGTTATTTCTCTTACACAATCTAGTTATTTGCCAGTCAAATAAAACGTTTAGTACGACTCATTACTCCGCTCACAGAAAATGATTGTAAAGGTTTGGGTTATAGAAATGCAGATGATGTTGTGGAAGAATTCATAAAATTGAATACACGTCGGAAAAAACGAAAGGCGTATGTGTAAAGCTTATACAAATATGTATTGTTATTATTAATTATTTACTATGAAGTAGGTTTTTTATTATTTGATGGGCTGAATTTTCGGTTGTTAAAAGGAGACAAAGTATGCTAATGGGTAGATGTTATACAATGTAGTGCGATGTGACCGAGTGATAAATACTCACGAGATCAAATTATTTGCTTATTCCTCTTAATTGGACTGCATTTAGAAAACAAGATAACTACCCAAAAGAATAGGTTTTCTTTCCTAACGAAATGTTGCGGCTATTGAACACAAAAATAAACATGACAAGAGGTCATTTAATAAGTAAACGATTAGAAGATATAGTAAGTATGGGTCTCCCACTCTCAATTAGAATCAAAGTTTAACTATCAATCTTAATTCTTGCCCTACTGTATCATCATTATGGTCAGTACATACATAGTAAAAATTTGCGACAAATAACAGAATATTCATTCTGCAGAATCTATCGTAAAAATGAATTTCCTTTAACAGATTAAAATTGGGCTTTCAAAGTTTTCTCAATAATTAGCTTTGTTATCTAGAACAAAATATCCATGAAAACTAAACAGGTATTAGTTCTGGTATCAGTTATACATATGTATTAAAAGCTAGTCACCAATGAGAACACGCTTATTCCTTACAAATGAAAATTAAGTTATTCTTCACGAGGTTATTCTAACTGATGCCAATTCATGACAAAAACAATTTTCAAGCTACAAAATTTTTAGTAAACTATTTAAGTAATTGAAACTTATGGTCTGTAATCATAGTGGAGCAATAGCTTAGTGGTTGAGATGTTTGACTTTCAGCCACTAAGTCGCGGAACCAAACTTTGTCCCGCCTAATATAGCTTGAGCCACCCGGTAGTATCACACCAAGTGTAGCTCGAAGCCAAATACAGAAATCTCTACCTCGAAAACGAATTTTAAAATCTATGGTGATAACTAGTTCTTTTCACCCAGTGTATGTGTCAAAGTTTTGTAGGTCAGTTACTGTAATATTTATTCATTTAATTTTTTATATTATTTAAGCGATGTGATATGGGTTTGCCCATTGTCAAATAAGAAGTTCCGAGATCCAATCTACGTTAAGAAACATATTCTCAATAAACATATGGAAAAGGTTGAAGCTGCCAAGAAAGATAATGTGAGTTTTTCCTGTCAAACTTGCACAATATGTTTTACACTTTTTTCGTGCATATAATCTATCCGTGTTTATTAATAAATGCGCCATATTTGGTATTTCCATACAGTTAAGATTTCTCCTTTAAATATTTAGCATTCAACCATTAGGTCTCTGGTTCAATTCACGTTTTATCTACTTCAATTTAAGCGACAGGGCATTTATTACCAGTAGGAATCGAACAGTTTATATCAGTGCTGAGTATAAAAACTTGCCCTTGGTAACTGGGATGTATTTAACCTATTTGAACTGATGTAAACTTATATATTACACTAATACATTTGAAATAATATACATTGGCAACATTCTTTTTATTAAGATATTATATATATATATATATATATATATATATATATATATATATATATATATGACTACAGTGACTTGACTTCGGTTTCTAGTATTTTGTGTTTATTTCTACGTAGGCAAGTCTCACTCATGAGGTGGTTATATAATCACTTTTATAGCTGCATACAAGCCAGTAGTTTCGTATTATCTTATCTTGTTTAGTATTGATGGTTTCATGTTGATTTCCCGTTTTTTTATTGAAAGTCTCTTGTTCATTATTCTCTTTCTTCTATGTACCAGTAACTCGTGTTTTTTTATTTCCATAAATAATCAGTCGTCCATTTTCCAAGTTAATCATCGACTCGGTCCGTTTACTTGATAACTTATCACATGATATGGGTAAACCATGATAATTTCCCTGTTATCTTTCAGGCCTACTTTTTCAACAACTATCTTATGGATCCTGCCCGACCCCAGTTGCCTCCTGAGCCAAGATCTCCTAGAAGGCGATCTCAGTCACCCTCACCATCTCGTCGAACTGCTAGAGAATCAAGTCATCTAGCTAATGAAACCAGTGAACGAGAACGTTCTAATTCTTGGGCACAAGGATCAAATAACTTCCAGTCACAAAGATGGCAGCAGTATGGACGCAATCGCAATGAAGGTGGAAATATGGGAGGGAATTATGGACGGGATAATATACACAGTAACTTACCATTCTACCCTCGACCATATGGTCGGCAACAGTATTCGAATTTCCGAATTCCATATGGTGGTAGCAATCAACGTAGTTATTATAATGGTCCACGAACTGGTGGATATAACTTTAATCGGTTAGTAAAGTGTTTTGTTGACGATTGGTTTAGGTTTTAGCAAGTGTTTATGTACTGTAATTAGTGTGTACTCAGGAAAGTGTACATTCTGTTGTAAATTATGTAGTGAGCTAGTAATTTGCGTAGAAGTTAATTAATTAGATTTGTCGATTATACCATTGAACACCAACCCAGCGCCTCATTAAAAGTGGGATTGTGCTCACTACTAGGCCTTCAATTCAGCTCCAAGTTTATTGTCGTGGCTATTCGCTGCTGAGAATTCTAGCACATGTATAAGGCAGCTGCCTCTTTCCACTTGGATTTCAATGCTCCAACAAATGGTGGCAGTTTGTGACGAGAACTAACCCTAAGCATTATTTAAGTTGAACCAAATGCAAATTTTATATTAATTAGTAGATGTTGACATTACTTACGATTTTTGAAGCCGATAGCCATCTACTGAACAGAATGTTTGTTGTCCATCGACTAGAGTGTAGGCTAAGATAAATTTTTTCCTTACTTAAAAACACACTTGGTTGAACATAACTCCCAACCGATGGACCACACAATATTGCTAGAACCCAACGTTGAATTGCAGATTCCTGCGCTTGACACTATATCACCAATCTTTTTTTGTGAAGTTTAAGTATGTACCATACAGTTACTTCAATATAAAGGAGTAGAACGAGGTTTCAAACTGCTACTTCCTCACTGTTGAGATCTACCATTTAGAACACTGGATCAAGATTTCACAGTTGTTTATTTATTAAGCTTGATGTTATTGAACAAATCAAAATATGAGATCAGATAATCAAATTAAATTTTAGTTCATGTTTGTAAAGTATTTACTCAAAGATCATAAAACTTGTTTTTAGCGAATAGAAATTTATATATATATATATATATATATATATATATATATATATATATATATATATATATATATAATCAAAACTATTGTTATTATCAAAGTAAATCTCACAATCTATTTTTAGACGTGGCTATCCAAGACGGTCGTATGTTGATTTGGATGCGCCTTGAATGAATGTCTCATTTTATTTGTATGCATTAGATAATGACAAATTTTGTTGTTTCCAGTCAGCAATAATCTCTATGTATTTTGTATATAATTCATATCAAGGAAAACAGCAACTAAACCCAACACTTATCTTTTGTACTCATAACTACACTACTACTATTCCTCGTAAAATAAATAAAATTGAAAAAATTGAAAAAAATACTTCTGTTTCAAATTTAAAAGGGTGACTTCAGGTGTTACTTAATTGATAATTTTGTATTATTGCAGGAGTAACAAATTTCTTAATGACTTGTTTGAATGTGTGCAAGTAACGCCTATTTTATTAGGACAGCTTATTAGAAATTATCTTTGTCGTTTAAATATTTGACCTTCACTAGTTAGGTTCCACGCTCTATCCTTTTCAGTTTCAATAGCTGAGCTGTAAACAACTTTCTTACTAACACAAATTAATATTTCGGTGTTCAGTTTTGTCTGTTAGGACTGATCTCAACCTCCAATATCCTGGAGTTGTCAACATATTACCTTTTTCTAATTCCTTAATCATGTCAGTTTCATAAAAGTAGTTGTAACTTTGTCAGTCACTTGATAGAAAGTTCACACGGTCTTTCGGTTTTTTTAAATATCTTTGTTCGTCATTCGATCATTAAGTAAAAGTTCTTAATCTGGGGTCGGAATATGTATTGATGGATTGAAGTTCGGATGTAAACTTATAAATTACATTCAAAACGGTCTAGAAAGACAATAATTCTACTTACTTTAGTGTTCACAAATGACAGTTAGCTGAAGGAAATGTAAAATGGGAATATGAAACTCTAAATATATAGTGAACAAATTTGGAAGATCTGGAGTTATATATATACCATTCAGCATGCTCCTTAGGAATGGTAATTAATGACCACTCACATTTAATGATCCATTTGTTATTTTAACATTACATCGTATCATTGAGAACAAGAACACAGTACACTTGTTCTGTATATACGTTCTACATTATTTCGTTGATTTCAATAAAAATCAAATTTCATATATAACATTTCTTAAAGCGAATGGTAAAATCACTTCATTTTTAAAATATTCTTTAACCATCACCAATTGGAGGGTGTATGAAAGACACTTAACAATCTTTTTGTTATTTAGTCTAAAAATTCGAATCAGCTTATAGTCGGATGCTCCCTGATTCGATGATGCAGAAATTCACCGTCAAGATATTACTCTATTAGCTAAAACAATAACTCACTATTCGAAATTTGTTCATATTATTTCGATTTTCCTGAAAATTCTCCAACGTTTCCAATGCTTCCTTACTTTACACCAATCTTCAGTGAAAAGTAATCACAAAAAGAAATAAGTTACTAAAAGGAACTAGAAAGAATTCATGTATCTTTATTTTAATCAGAATTTCCAGTGCCCTATTGTCATAAAGAAATGGTCAGTGTGTACATAAATGTTGAAAATTCCTTAAAAAAATTTAATTTGAATAACAAGCAACATGAAAACTAGAGTCGTTAAATAATTATTTTTCATAAATAATCAAATATGGAATGGACTTCTTTGAAAATTATTTGATACTCGGATGATGATTAACTATTCTCATAAAATCCTAAAGATTAGTTCGTTAAAGCAAATAATATATTAATTTGTTTAAGAAACACTAGTTTTTTGAATCGTTTTTTAGTTATTAAAATTGCTTAAAGCACAGATAACATGTAATTTTATCCGTATATGTCTTTGAGCATTGCGTAATGGCTTACTCCAGTCGAATGGCCGCTCATACGATTGACCGACGCCACTATCGATATTGTTTTTATCGTTCGGTTGTTTTAATTGATAGTAATCATTGAAGTTATTTGATCTTGGTGTAGTTATTTGCAGCTGCTCATCAGTAACATCACATTCATCCTCAATAACATTGATCAAACCCTGAATTCTTTGTCCAAATGCCGATGCAATTAATTCAGCTTTATGTTTAGCATCTGAAACGGCTTGTTCAACAGCTTCTTTGCTAAAAGTTATTTCAAAATATGGTAAAACTGTTTATTATGAAACTTTTACAACAAGAACAGATTCACATACAAGTTGCTAGATAGCTTTTTATTAATTTAACAACATAAATCCTGTTTTTAGATGATAAATAATACTGACTGATAAAAAGTTGCAAGAGAACTGTAAACAGGACACTAAGGATTTGATTTTTGTGTGTATTAATTTAAACATAAGAGACTATCCAATAAGCCACTTATATGAATAGTCCTGGACGTACTCATGACTAGACTTAGGACAGATTTGCCATGGCTGAAGAAAAGATGAGACTTATGGACTTACACGAGTTTGGGTTGGGACAGTTGTTTCCCTAAAACACCATACAACTGACTGGCGTTAAAAAAACATGGATCATTGGATCCTAAATCAGTGGACAAATAGTGTCATCCTCACCTTTAAAAGTCTGTGGTTTGGTAGTTCATAGGATCATTGTTACGCTATATGAATACGCCCAGATACAATGATAAAATGGGTTTCTAGTGCTCCTTTGTTGTCAGATATTCTGCGTATGGTTTTAGTTCATGACACAAACCGTTTTTGAAAACCTAACTCAATGTATCCGATTTTCACTAAAAACTGAAAAACCTCAAATGACTGATAAAAATTCCAATGGTGGTGCAACATTGATCGGCTCACGATTTCATTGAAACACAATCTCCACAACCCTATACTGATAAATATAATTACTTCTGGCGTGCTGTAATTTTGAACCAAGTACTTCGATACCACATTTAGTTGTTGGAGACATTTATGAGGAAGGATCGAAGCAAATGAGTGGTACTAAAGATGTCATTGCCATTAGTTTCAATTCAAAAGGAATGAATTATACTTTATAATGTCTGAAACTAAGACTTAAAAATCCCTGATGTTAACAACTAACTAAATTTCGGCGTCATAGTTGAACTCCAAAACTTGATTCACTGTTTTTGTATATATATATATATTCACGATAACACTGACAATAGGTTTTTTAAAGTTTAAAGAACAAGTGCGTCGAGATTTAAGGGCGATTAAATTGATTTCCGGTAAGATTAATATAATTTAAAGATTATAACGCTAGAAATATTTATACTGTAAAGCTTATAAAGACGTAGTTACTAAGTGTTTTCTTGAAGAAACTCCTAGATTCTTAAAATCTAACTCAGAATCCACTCCAAGAATTGTTATAAGATTCTGGAAGTCGCAAGAGACCACAACGCTAGTGCTTTGATTGTGTATAAAGTCACAAATCAAAACTACTTAAATGTCTGTTTCTTCAAAGTCAAACATCTACACCGACTGGCATCTAGTGCAGACTCAAGATAAAGTACGTAACAAAAATATTTTTTGCAAATCACAATTGAAAGATGGGTCTGTTTACCTGTTTTCGTGAAGCCTTACAGACTCATTCTAAAAGAACTCAAGAAGAAGCGATCTCATTCAGGATGGTCCTTAAGATAATTAATTTTTTATTCAGAAGTCAGTTTGTTATGTCTGGTTTATAATTTGATAGAAGAAATAGTTTGTTATTTGAATAACATACAGAATAAACAATACAGTCATAAAATTTCAACTTGAACTAAAAAATCGTGATGTTATGGAACAAAACTTTTCAAATATCCAAAGCTATTTAGGAATGTTTCCCTGTGAATTTGGCCATAACATAAGTATTACGCTTTCTATATCTGTTAAACTTTCTCCTTAAAATGATGCTTGAGTAAAAGCTCAGTTACAAAAAGTTGATGTATCAAGTCAAACTAAACCGAAAAGCTTTTTAATGATACGCTTCCTCTAAAAAGCAATTTGACTTTAAGTAATTCACTTCTTATGTACCTACAGTAAGGATAGACAACTGAATAACTGAGCTGGTCTACATGCAATCACATAGTTTGTTCTCAAAGCGATAGCGAAATGCTGATTAAGTAATACTGAAGATCAAGAACTTATGATGTGTTTTCTGCTTGAGTTTAGGTAACTTTTAGCACATAGCTTCAATCACATTTGGAATGAGGGTCAAATGTCGTATTATAAATAAGAAACTTTCGGTTACCGTAGTTCAAACATCCGCTTTTTTGAATAGAAGCACTCCACGGTTCCAAGTCTTATATATGTTGGTAATTTGGACTTAAGATATCCCAAAAGGCTTTTCATTCCAGAAATGTCACACGTCGTTATCTCAAACTTATACACAGCGTTCACACCATTATCTTCTGTGACCGTATCGAAGTGCTCGACAACATTGAACTTCTAAATTTTGCTAAAACAAGACAATGGATAATGTAATTACTTTGAGATGTCGGTTATAAATTACTTGTCGAGCGTATTCAGCTCTTTTTCTTGCGCTCTCTTCAGCTAAAGTGCATGTAGGTTTTTTGGAGCACACTAAGATCTCTACTTTGCAGCAGTCAGGTTCTGAGGTTGTTTCTCCGACACCAGAGACCTTAACTTCACCTGGGTTATGGACATTACCAATTGTCATTCTGTAGTCATGATTCGAAAGTGTGTGTTTACGTGTTCAATGTATAACAGTGACCGCTTTATTTGTACTTCAAAGAACAAAATGTTTGGTGGCTTGTGTTAGTCCTGGAGATTATGTTCTGTAAACTAACACAAATTTTGTATTTGAACTTATCAACAGATGGAGCTCCGACTACCTACCCACTTAAGGTATTCCACCTGTTGATGATTATGATTTGTTTAAAAAGGCGACTGTCGGCTGAAAAGTACTTTGCTCTGAGCTAGTGAATACTTTTGAAGTTTCCTCGTAAAATATCTGCCTTGGGAGATAAGAAAAAATGATGGTGTTACGGATAAAAATTTGTTTTGATCTGATTCAAAAACGGAAATCAAGTCACTTTTGATTCTTTTGTATAACAAATACAACAGGTTTAGTTTAACAAGTTTCTGGTCACACAGTAGCTTTATGATCCCGTGAATAAACTCAGATGTGGTTTTATCAACTTCCTGCTAAAGATGAATGCCATTTTTTAAGTAAAGTGCTTATCACGTATTTAAAAGATGGACGAACACTGTATGCTAAGTCAAAATATATTAACATCTGTATGAATTAAGGCTTTGCATATTGACGAAAAAGTCCCAATACTGAACACTACCATGTGCGGAGTTTTCCAAGTCTTAAATGTTGAGAACTTCTAGAACACTGTGTGTCTGAGCA